TGCCTATAGCATCGTCAACTCTAGACTCACTTTAGTCCTCAAACGCCCCGCTCACCTGTAGTGCCACTTGTATAGACAAACATGGCATTGCGCGACTCGTCAAATGGAACTAGCGCGCCCGACTAAACGATCGCATTCGAGTAATCAGCACACGGCGCTGCTACCTGCCAGTGAGCTGTCAATGCTACTTACATCCAGGTTACCACTTTTGTGCCCAGAAACAACGGCCTGCTCGATATCTATCAGTGGTATACTCTTGCTGGATCCTAGCGCAGTTGTCAGGCGTTCGCGCATGGAAGAATGCACCAGTGCAAGCGAGCACTCGGCGTTCTTAACGTGGTACTCGAGTTCTTTGGCGGGATGTGATACGCCTGAACGACGCGCCGTTAGTTGATGATGCGACGCAGTCTCATTGCTGGTGCTGCCTACACAACGGGACAAACACGCCGCCAGCCGCCCAGACAGACCACTGCGCCACAGTATAGATGTATCCGGCTGGGCAGAGCACCGCAACGCGCTGTTGCTCCAGGTCACTGAAATATCCGATGCATAAGCCAACCGCTCACAGCTACGTCGGTTTTGTCAACGCCCACCTCGTTCCCAGGTGGCGTGTTACAGCAAGTACGTCTTTGAGCAAGCTAGCATACGTGCGCGTTGCACCCGTAGCTGTGTCGACTATTGCTGTGGCTGAATGTACGCTGCCGTCATTTCTATCTGCCTGGAGTCCGGCGTGCTCTTTTAAACGCCGGAAAAGCTGGAGGTCTGGCAAAGTCATTCCACCTAACAAGAGGCTTAGCCAGTATCGCGTGCAGGCATTCCGGCTGCCGACACCTACTTTGTGCTGAAAAGCTGCAGCGCAGCTCTACGCGGGTGCAATGAACCCGTAGAGAACGCGTCGTCGCAGAACGTGTGAATAGACGAAACATGATAGACGTCAAAGTGGCCACAAACAGCCTGGCCAGCAACGCGTCAACAAATATCAATCGCCGCTGACACTGCGGCCTCCACGTTAGTCAAAATACGGAATATTGCCCTGCACAGCATGGGCCATTTATGTCGGTCTACGCTGAGCATCAACAAACTACAAAGGCATGAGATGCGCATAGCACATCACTAGCGCAAGACACAATGCACGCAGCGTGAGCTATGAATAAGCGCTAGTGCTGGTGTACACTAAATGGGCGACTGCGCTACGCACCCAATCAAACCTAGAGGCAGCTGGCTACGTAGGAATACAGAGTGGCATACAGTAGCCGACTGGTTTGCAAAGCCCAAGCTAACTTTTGCCGCTTTCCATTCGCTTTTATAACACGGCGTCATCTCTGGCCCACATGCCAGGCGTGTACTCACACCGAGCACCATCTAGTGTTGCTGCGTTATGTGTGAATGTCACCAATCGATCCTAGTATCACCGCTGTTGCGAGCCTGTGTTATGAGGGCGGCACTAACGGTTGCTGCATTAGTGATCCTGGTGACATTGCGGATGGGGCTGCTTGACGGACGTAAAGTGGCATGCCGCGGCAGGCCCAAAGAGATTGATGCAGCGTAGTAAACGGTGCACGAGAATACAATGCGGAGAGAGGAAATAAACCGCGAGAGCAGTTAGTTTTATATTCTGGCCACGCGCAGCGGTGAGACTTGAAAAGTTACGCGACTGCGCGCAGACGGGTGTCGGAGGCAGAAGGTTGCTGCGCTTACATGTAGGCAGTGTACGATCGATTTGGCTCCCAACGGCGACAACGCTGTCAGTGCACGCACAATCTTCGTAGCGTAGTCGAAGCATCGTTTGCAATGTATCACGTGGCGCTATTATGGTGGCCTCATTGCTGCCATAAATAGCTGTGTACGTGTGCTCAAGCGTTCTGTTTTCTTCGCCACCTGTTCTGCCAATTCTCACCAGTCATTGTTGCCTTGCTTTGCTTTGCCAACGCCGTGCCACTCTGCAGTCATTTAAATTGCCATGAATCGTCTATCAGAGGATGTGCTTGACTACATTATTGAGGCTGCCGACGACGACGCACTATTTCTGCTAGCATTTACGTCTCGACAATGGCGTGCTCGTGTGTCATGTCGGCAGCGCCTATGGCGCAAGCGCTTTATGGCGCAGTTTTCACAACAAGATTACAACGAAAAGGAGTGGCTACGCCAGTACACGCGAGCGCGCCATCCTGAGGTATATAGCAACAGTGCTGTCCGCGAGAGGCCAATCTCGTACGGAGATATTCAACTCGACTGGTTTGATGCCTATGGCAAACGCTGCGCTACCGAATATCGCTGGCGTCATGGTCAATACTCGATGCACAGTCTTAGCAAGGTGACAGGCCCTCCTCCATGCGGTACCCGCCTTCAAACTATTGAAACTCAAAATGACACATTGGTTGCATCGCAGTGGCTACTGCCCTCTCAACATCAACCAGTGTGGATTCTGGAAAAACCAAACTATGTTCCTATTTACGAGGACGATCTAGAAGATGAAAGCGAATTTGAAGATACGTATTTTGGTGAAATACTGTGTTCTAACGAACATTTGCTTCTCTTGGCTAAAGGTCAATCCTCGGACAACTGCATGTTAGTCACTTGGCATCTCGATGCGGTTCACAAGATGCCCCAACAAATTGCGATTGGCTTTAATCCATTTTATATGGATGTATATGAAAACTGGGTTTTGGTCAGGTACCGTACTCGACAGAACACCAGAACAGCAACTGCACTGGTATACAATCTTGCCAACAATCATCATTTTTCATGTAACGATGATGAACCAGCTAAAACATGCATTCTAAATGCGGAAACAGGCAGAATATGCTTTGTCTGGGCTGTGAATGAGAGTGGTTTTGGAAACTGGTCAACCATCATCAAAGTGCGGCAGATCACGACTAGCCAAGCGCCAGCGTCGGAACACGAAGCAGAATTGACCATGGCAAATTCTAGCATATGCAACGTACCACTGCGCATTGACAGCAGCAGATTCATCGTGAATAGTCCTCACAAACTCGGCTCTAATTCTACAGTATTGCAAGTTCTAATGCTGGCAGAAGTGACTGAAGATACAACTGGTATAGCATTGAAGGAGAAGTGGACAAAATTGGGAAATTTTGGCGCACTGCAGCCAGTTGTGTCTCACAATCTATTGGCTTCGTATGTAGACCTAAGTGTCATCCTATTGAGCTTGGTAGATGGATCAGAGGTGCACCATGTGCATCTTGATTGCTGGAGAATCAATGGCATGTATCCGATCGCTAGTCGATGGAAAAATATGCTCGAGGATGCAACATGGAAATCTCCAAGGATTTGTGCAGATGTTTTTCGCCCAGACCATTGCTATCCGACCGCTCAACCGTGCACTGTTTATCGGGATCAATATGAATGCGAGGAGTGCGGAGAATATTATGTTTGCAAAAAACATCCCTTGCTTGTCGTCGACTATACGGAAAACATACTCTGGTCGAAGCAGCAGCCCGTTAAAGAACGGCCGGTCATCAAAAATGATGCATAGCTACTGTACCATCAGCGATACATGACCTGTTTACTTACTTGCCGTATGTCTTTATAAACATTTGCTTTGCAAAGCGCGAAAACGTTTAAAAGGCCGCATTGAGGCGGTACATTCAACGCTGTTGTCGGCGCTGGTCATTGGAGCGATCACTCTCCGCCGCCGCGCCCATATATGTCAACTCAACGCTCTGTTACCTCCGCCATTAGTGCGCGCGCGCAGTGGCGTAGCTATAAAAACCTCGCCACCGCACGCCAGCAGAGTAAACACAAGCCCCCCTTCGCATATCTCTTCCGTGCCGCACTCTTGCGCTCCATCTAAGGCAACGCATCTATCTCAGCGGACTGCCTATAGCGTGCAGCCCACGCCTGGCTCCGCAGTTTCCCTGCAGCCTCGTTGAAGTTACTCAACCCTTTCTGCGCTAGTATCTACCCCATCGATGCAGGCTTGCAACCACGCTAAAGCAGAATTCGCATTGCATAGCCGAAAACAAGCGCAAGCAAAGCCAGATCACGCAGGAAGCAGCAGTTTACAAATACTGCACACCAGACTCTGCCGTATTGCTCGACAGCATGTCTGCACAAATAACGCGGGCTGTAAAGCTAGTGAACCAGATGTTTATATGAAAATGCGGCAAACCAGTAAGCAGATCATGCATCGCTAATGATGCGGTGGCTATGCATCATCCTCGGTGGCTAGCTGTTTTGCGATGGGCTGCTGTTTCGACCAAAGTATGTTTTCTGTATAGTCGATAATCTGTAGAGGGTGCTCTTCGCAAACATGATATTTCTCGCACTCATCGCATTCATATCGACCCTGACGAGGATAGCATGACTGAGCAGTTGGGTAATGGCGGTCAGGATAACTTTTTCTAGACAAACACTTGGGCATTTTCATCTCGTACCTTTGGGCATCTTTTCCCATTGACGAACAGATGGATACATGCCACCATCGCGTCAGTACTTATAAATATGCGCCATCTCTCACTCCAAACGAGAGAAGGAGCACGCTTTCCACCGCGAATCTTCACCCCATTACGATAATCACTTGCGTCGGCATCAACTGCCCCATCGTCATCGTAACTACGTGCTACGACAGCATCTTCGTCTCAACACACAAGTGCTCCAGCGACACTATCGTCCATCATCATTCCGCTCACCAGCTAACACCTTAATCGCCGACACGCTTCATCTATCACCATCATCGACTAGTCAATACGTCTCGGACCCTTCCCTCACGTTACCTCCTCACACAGGAGTAACATTGCGGGCAATACTGTTGCTGAAGAAAGGACTATTTTTTTGGTTACTGGGGAGTATCCCACTGACGTTTTATTAAGTGTCGGTGGACTCGTGAGCGTAAAGCGCTCCCAGCCTGACTAGCGGTTCGCTGACTAGCATGTCGCAAACACCAGTACGCACTGCCACCAAGAAATGACCAAATTTTTAGAAAATATGCCCATTTTTAGTTTTGACAATTCTCATATTTCTCGCGACTAGCCTTATATGGCCGTGTAGCTCAGTGGATAGAGCGTCGGTTTCCGGAGCCGAAAGTCGCAGGTTCGACCCCTGTCTCGGTCGTTTTTGCCCCTCGGGCATTGTCTTTTGCCGCATAGGTTACAGCTGTAGCCTCATGTCATGTGCGGAGCACCGAAATACAAATACGCCCCATCCTAAAGCGCTGTCGCCTAGGTATCGGTTGCTCACCTTTTGCTAGTCTTACCGTGCAATTGCGAATTGCAGTCACTTTACCATTTAGTTTGCCATGGCCACGCAGCCACTCTTTATTCCTGTAGGCAGTCGTAGCGCACACAGCTCGCTCGACGGCCTAGCGGAGCTGATTAAGCGCGTGAGTGGTAAAAGGGCGGTGGGCAGGTAAACCTAAACTGACGACCGTGCTTGCAGCTGGACTGGCGCCACCCACTCTTGGCTGGCCTGCTGGCCGCCCACTGCAGTATGTTTGTCGCGCTCTTGCTCTGTCGTCGTTGGCCAACGGGTTTGTTTGCCGTGTTTCTTTGTGCACGTACGCAATCTGCGCTGTGCGGCTTTGGTAGTCTGCACGCCAAAAGTTTTGACGTCATTGTTGCGTGTATTGTCACCATATAGTTAGCATGGCGCTGGCGACAGAGCGCATCAACGAACTGGGTATGCGTGGCATACCGACACTGGGCATACCTCGTGTATGGGGTGTCCAGCGCGACGGCTTGCTGACCGCAGCTGTCTATGCTGGACCCTTGCTGTTGAATGCCTGTGGAGCACTGGTATGTGCCAGCATTGGTATGATGCAAACAGGTCTGACGCGCCTCGTTACAGACGATGCTGCTTGGCCATATGCTTGGTGAGCTTATCCGCCTAAAGCAAATACGGCGTGCCCGCCGATAAGAGGCTCGACATGCTATGGATATGGCGGAGCGTAGTACCGCGTGTGCACACGGCGTACGCAAAAGGACCTTGTAAGAACGTCGATTTACCTGGAAATGCTAGACGCTCTACCAGCGCGCATACTCTGCATATCCATTTCAGACACGCTGATATCGTCGCCTTAGCTACACCGGCTCAAGTGGCTGTTTGTGTCAACAAACGTAAATGATCGGTAGTCTGATGGATAGCTATTGGATGGCGGATGGTGTCATGTTGCTCGATGTACAACTTGGGCGTGCGCATGCAACAAGAGCACACACTATCGTATGATTCGGAAGACTCTGATAGGCCCGGCAAAATTTTATTATCATTATTCGCCATCATACCGGTGCTGGATTGTGCTTTTGCTCCGTTCATGCTCAAGAAACTGCAGGCAAATCTGTTTTGGCAAATGGCAGGTGCATCCTTGTTATACGCGACATGAGCGCAACTGCTCTATTGACTTTAGCAATCGCAGTCTTTTGGAGATAACAGTGGGCACCAGATTCCGGTAAGGTGTAGCTGTAGTTGTTTTAACGCGCTGCGGCTTGCGTTGACTCATTAAACATTACAGCTGTGTTACGTATAGCAGCACGATTAGGCTGCGTTAAATCGCCTCCTTGCGTGCTAGTATTGAATCCCAGCGTTATTTCGTCAGCAGACAGCCACCATCCTATCATCACCCAGATTCGACGTGGTTAATATCCTGTTCTAGCTAAGGGTGCCCCTTGCATTGGTTACTACATCAGATCTGCATTGTAGGCCAATGTGGCGGTGCCAGGAGTAATGCTTGTAATTGTTTATCCAACAACTCAGCGTGGAGTCTTTTGGACTGTACAAATACCCAATGTTACCCAAAGAAAAAAGCGTTTGTAAGGGCCTAGTCGCCAGATTTCCGTTGCAGTGATCGTGTATGCTATCATCTGCAGCGACACTGGTGCTCTACCAAAACTGTGCATGCACGCACGATCTAGGCCGCGCAAAAGAGGCACCTATGCACCCGTGTGTACTTTGCACGCTTGAACAGCACTCACCCCTTTCCTATTACTTTCCCTGGCGACCAGGATAAGTATCTGCGCGCACCCTGTCTGTTTGACACAGTGGAGTTGTTAGTTGACACACAGTTTGTTTGGTCATCTTGGACTACTGTATCGTAGATCACGAGTGCTATTAGGGTGCTGGGGCACAATCGCCAGCTTGGTCGGCCATCGGTGGTATTTAGCGCCGCACTTGTGCTTTTTTATTTTCAGTGCATTTTATTCTCTCTCTCTCTCTTTCTGCTGTTGTATCGAACGTCGTGTCCACAATTCCATAGAGATCAGCGCAAATTTAACGGTCATCTGTCGTGCAAAAAGGCGCACCATCTGATAGTTGCCTGTAATTTCAGACAGCGTTTTGTCGGCATTGGCAGTTGTTCAGCAGCATGCAGTATGCTTTTGTCTTTTTCCTTTTATTAGCCGTTATTCCGGTAGTGATAGTAGTGGCGACATATTCGCCTGTAAATGGCCCTCTGCCGACGGAGAGCGGCAAACCCGAGGTGCTGCTGGCAAATGCCACCGCACAGCCGCCCGATGAACGCTTTCAGCAGCCCTGGATCAAGATTGTTGGCGGCAAGGTTGCCAGTCTAGCTCAGTTTCCCTTTGCCGCTGCACTCTTCTTTCCATCCGGGAAACAGGCGTGTAGCGCGTCGATCATTTCGAAGCGCCATCTGTTGACAGCGGCGCACTGTGTGGTAAAAAAATCGCGTTTGCGTGGCCACCACAAAAAGAGTGGCGTTGTCCTGCTCAGCAGCAACGATACGCAGCCCGCAGGCATGGAAGTGGACGGCATGGACGATGACGAGTCACATGCGCACACGTTCATTCGCGTAAATGACGATGGGGTACACTCGCGCCAGAACATGCAGCGGCGACAAAGAAAGAAACTGCGCTGGGCGCCTGTCTCTACGGCAGACCGTGTTGTTCAAGTCGGATCTCCTTCGACAACACTTCGCAATCCACTTGAAATCCGTCGATTCCATGTGCATCCCGATTTTGCGCGTCGTGGAAAGATACACGATGCTGCTATAGTGGAACTGAAAAAAGAGCTTGTGTTTTCGGAGACCGTACAGCCTATTCGCTTGCTTAGACGGCGCTTGGTTGCCGGTGAAATGCCGACAGCAGTGGGGTTTGGTCGTGACGCTTTAGGGACCACGTCACCGCTGCTGCAGTACCTGAAGATGCTGGTGCCGCAGGATGATGTATGCGCTGCCGGCGCTCACGGAAGACCATGGAAAACTGATCTTGTTTGTGCGACGGCGTTCAAGCCGAGTACCGGCACATGCATCGGTGATAGCGGAGGCCCAGCGGTGATGCGCTCAACAAGCAAGAGTGCGCTACAGCACGGTTGGTTGCAGGT